TCCCAGCGGGGAGGAAGCTGCAGGCCATCCCCAAGATTCCCAACCCGAGGGACCCGGTGAGCGAGCTGCGGCCCCAAATGTCTCAGGCCACTGCTGCGGGACCTGCCAGTCAAGATGCCGTGCTCAGCACATGGCATCATCCCGCCCGTTTCCGTTTCCAACTTGACCGAGCAAAGCAAGCAGGAAAGCGCGCGCAAAGGAGGCAAGCAAGCACGGGATGGATGGCATGGATGGGAGGTGTTCGTGATCCATGGCCCGCACGTGCATACATACAGACATCCCTCCCCTCCCCTCCCCTCCCCTCCCCCCCTTTTCGCTTCGACGAACCGAACCGAGCCGTTCAGGCAGAGCCTCCTGGTTGCTGACGCGCCGATCTGCTGCTTGTTCGTTGCCGAATGGCACGAAGGAACCTCAAGGCGCACCAGGGACCCCACGCGAGCGTTTGGCGTTTGTGAGCTGAATCCCAAGAATCATTTTAGTACGCGATTAGAACGGTGGGGCGTTCTGAGACCATTCCCTATCCGTCCGGTCGAACATTAGCGTTCAACACGAGACGAGGGGGGGTCTTTTCCCTGGGCCGGCTCGTTGTCCCCGACGGTCGACCCCAAGTTTTCTCCCCCTCCCCCCGGCGCCCCCCGGTTCGTGAGTTAGGGGCATCCAGCATGCCGGTTCAACAAAGGGAGCGCTTCCACTAGCAGGGATATTTGTGGCCGGTACTGGGTTTTTGTCTCAGTCTGCTTTTCAGCTTCGAGTGAGATGGGAAAATCGGGCGCGATCCGTCTGCTTGGCCTGACGGACGGGAGGAACCCAGCATGCCGTGCTGACGGGGTGGTGTCGTTTTGTTTCGGCGGGAGCCGATGTGAACGTTGATCTGGATATCAAGTTGGGGAAGGCTCGTTTCTGATGCGGGAAACCGGCGACAAGCGACAGGGACAGTGATGAAACGGGAGATAGGTCCTGTCGATCCCATCAAGGACCGCACAAGTATGGAAGGCCTTGAGAACTCACGCTCTCGGAGTGTCAGCATGTCTTGCAAGACTTCTTCGACGTTCTGGAATGGCCAACAGGATGTTGGAACGGACACCTTAACAAGCATGGCGGCGCCACTATCACGTCTCGAGCATGCTGTTTCTCACTTGTTTGGATGAAAATCGTGGTGCACGTGGAATGTTAATTATTGATTCGTACAGATTCGGGGGCCGTTGACAGGTGGATCGGCAATGATGCTGCATCTGGTGTCCTGGACGTACCACGGTATCTCTGTATGTACTGCGGTACGTACAGCCAAGGCTCGGATCTGCCCGTGTTCATGTCTCTCAATCGTCTCACTCGATGTCACTTCTCGGGACGAGCAATTAACGAGAAGTTGTCAGGATGATAACTGCTGTGGCTGGTCGGGAGGTTCTTGTTGGTGCGACTGGCTGGCCATGCATGATGGCTTGCGCTCGGTGTTGAGAATAAAACACCTCTCAGGCTTGGAC